TATATATATATTTAAGCTTGGCTGTAGATGCATTACTCATGATCCAAACTTATTTACTAGGAAAATCTTCATTTGACTCATCTCTCTGACCTTGGAAAATTTATTTAGGCTTTCTGCATTAATCTGAAGCTTTTTCAAAAGTTACACCGAATTGCTATTTAAAAAGTTACTTATACTGAATTAATATTACAATTGTTAATTTCCTTAAGACTGCATCAGTTGACAACCTGAAACAGGTTAAGAATTCTACTCTTTCTCTAGGGTTGGCTTTCAGTTTCTCTGCAGATAATACCACAAAGACAGGCCTCATGGAGAAGCTACCTCATCTTCAGTAGGCATGCTCCATTCCTATTCCCTATCTCTATGGCAATTGAGAGAATGATGTCATTGCCTGTCTTCTATAGCCTTCTAGAGCTTCCTGGAGCCATGCTTATTGTATATACTATTACATTTTAATGCACTGGTAACTGAGACTATCAAACTAAGAAAGAAGTGTTCTGTTTTAGTTCATTTGCTCTTTTTAACATTGTTTTTAGGGTGAAATCTGATTCATTAAGTAAGAAACCTCTATCCTTACAGGAGTCTAGTAAAAGTCCCAAAACGATGAAGAAGTTTCTTCATAAAAGAAAGACAGAAAGAAAACCATCAGAGGAGGAATATGTGATTAGGAAAAGTATGTATTTTGTACTTTCTGAAGGTTAATTATAGATGGACTAGCACAAGATTTTTGTTTCTAAACCAGATGATTACAACAATTTGTTCTCATCATCATCTGTTACATAAAAAGGAATGGGAAGATTTGGTCACAAGCTCTCTTTGCTGTACTTCTTGTCATCTTAGACAGACACCACCTGTGTCAAATATTTTTCTTTGCTTGGCTCTATGGATGCATTGTTTTCCTCTTTGTTTTCAATGTCTGAGATAATTTCCTATAAAGAGATAGAGTAAATAGACCTGGAGGCTGAAATTGAAATCTTCCTGGAAATCTCATTCTCAACGACATTCTTGGTTAGCAAAATCAGCCTGCTGACATCTACAGCATGGCTGGATTTAGGAATGGACTGCAAAGCCAGTTAGCCAGTCAGTAGTATCTACGTGGCTAGAAGGTACTCCAAGACGAATGTTGGAGCTAAAGTTTGGACCAATCTTTGCTTGACTCCACTCCCCCACTTCCCCACTCGCACTTCGGTGTGCTTAGAAGAATGTGAACAGTGTGCTACCCTATAGTCATTTCAAAACTGAGTTGGGAAGGAAGGAGGAAGGTGACTGAGTTACTAGACTGGTTGGTGGGAAAAATGGGTGGGGTTGATGGGGGGAAAGCTCCCTAGAGAAGTCAACCCTGAACTGTAAAGGAGAGGAAGGATGTGGTGTATGGACAAGAACTGAAGCCAGCACCAAGTCCAGCACTCTCAGTATGGCCTCCAAAAGGCAGCGCTCTCAGTATGGCCTCCCAGGCTCCTTTGGGGGTGCTGTCACTCTGGCTCCCTCGTGAGGGGTTGGATGGTGTTTTCTCTAGCCTTTCAGAAACACCACTGGCCAGAACAGTCAATACTGAGGAGTGGGATACACTGCGTCCGTTTTAGGGTCAAGTGGCAGATTTCTCTATGAAAATAATTGTGAATTAAATTTTACAGGCACAGCTGCTCTGGAAGAGGATGCTCAGATTCTCAAAGTGATCGAAGCCTACTGTACCAGCGCCAACTTTCAACAAGGTCCTAGCTCTATTTGTTGTCGATTCTGACTCATACCAACCCTATAGGACAGAGTCACAGTCTCACAGTTGTACGGATCAATCTGCCACAGAGCCACTGGGTGGGCCTGAGTCTCCCACCTTTAGGTTTGCCACAGGGGGCCTCCAGAGCTCAAACAGGCTCCCCCCACCCCCAGTCTGCTTTCCTTAGTTCATGGTGTTCTTTTTTAACTTGCTTACTGCCTTGTAGAGACAGAGAAAAGCAACTCGAAGGGCTGCAGGGTGTGTAAAGCAGGCAGCTTTTATGCAAAGGAACCATGCAGAACTGCATCTGTCAGATAAGGTGCTTTTGCTACCATGTGGTTTGTGTACCCATTGCTTCTTTTCACCCAGAGAGAAAGAGATGCAAGCCTCAAAAATTTGGAGGTCATAGAAATTAAAAAAAAAAAAAAAATTTAGTTATTTCCCTTTGAAGTACACGATGTAACTTCACTAACACTAGTTAGGAATTAAAGAGCCCAGAGAGTTCCTTTGTCTGTGAACCGATGCTAATCTCTTCTTATAGGCTGATTTGGAAAGGAAGTCAAAATACGATCTTTGATCAGTTGCATATTTAAGAGAACAGTGCTTCACACCAAACTCAAGTTTTAAAGTTCTGAAATCTGGAAATGTAGCTACTTAACAGAGGCTGTTCAAAATGTATAATATATATAAGTGAGCTATTAGGCAGATATTTCCCTGACCAATTTACAGACTACAAACAAAGTGAGAGATTATATTCTGAGTCATCCTTGTGTTGTTTAAAAACTGGGTCACATTGTGTCTTTTGTCTTTCATTATTCTAGACATTCGGGGTACCTTTTATGAGGGTTTTGCACCTGTTTTAAGAAAAGAATAGTCCAGAATACTGTTTTGGACAGCCAATCACTTGAGTGTGGAAGGGGAGTTCTTAGGTGGAATGCCTTTGATTCTTTCAAAGTAGCATGTCTCCAGGGCTATCAGGAAGAGAACGTTCTCTGTGAAAGTTGACCCACTTGACTGCTAAGAGGGGACTGTTCGATCATCTATTTCACAGACAAGACCTAACGATGGCTTAGGGCACGCCAAGCTCTAATGACAACTTTCCAGGAGCCAGGAGAGGAAAGTAGTTTTCTAGTGAGAGTTAAGAAACAGAGAAGGACAAGGTGATACCAGAAAAAGCATTCTTAACTCAAAAAAGGAGTCCCCGAATTGTCCAAATGGTTAATAAGCTCAGCTGCTATCTGAAAGGTTGGAGGTTTGACTCCACCCAGAGGCACTTCAGAAAAAAAGGTCTGGCAATCTGTTTCCAAAAAGATATGAGCTGCTTAAACCCCTATGGAGCACGGTTCTGCCCTGACACACGTGGGGTCACCATGAATTGGAGTCAACTCAACGGCAAGTTTTTAATATATAAAAAAAGCTTTTATTGTGAACTGGGTGTTGGTTTACATGGGAGAATATCAGCTGTACATTCATCCTATCATATTTCGTTTCATTGCAATGATTACAGTCCCCTCCATGCATCATCAACTAGCCAAAGGGTACACCCCACAAGCGTGCTCCCTCCCCCAGGTGTCAGCACATAGCCCTTCTCCATCTCTGGGTTTAGAGTCCCCCAGCCACTCCATCTCTCCACGTCATCATCTCTGCCTCCATCTCTGGCGTCATTTTTTTTTTTAAACACAAAATTTGACTTCATTCTCTCCTCTTATGACATTTATCCATGTTGATAGAGCTACAAAAAGTTAGGTTTTCTGGCCTCAAGAGTCACATTTTTGCCTTTCCTCCTTGCTAGGCCAGTATTGTTGTTGTTGTTAAGTGCTGTCGAGTTGGTTCTGACCCATAGCGACCCTGTATAGGGTTTCTGAGAAGTGGCTGGTGAGCTTGACTTGCCGATCTTACAGTTCAAATGACTTTGCAGTCTAGCGCATGAACCCACAGTACCACGTGCAGAAAGTGTCTAGCACAGTGCTTGACACACAGCAGACTTTGCACTCTCTCCCTCTCCAACTATAAGTCCCATTTCTTTCAAACTGTCAGTCTGTTGTCCACTATTAAGCACCTCTGAAGTGTTAGGCCCTATGGAAGGCAGAGACATATCTGCACTCAGTAAATAGGAGGTGATTGAGTGTGACAGAGAGTATAGACAATTCAGAAGAAACTTGGCTCTGAAGAGAGGAGGGCAGTGGCTCAAGGAGAGCCAAGGTCAAAAGTCTTGAAGCTTATTTATGAGTCCTGAGAAGGAAGATCCAGAAGTGAAGGAAAGATTGGAAGTGTAGAAGAGCTGTTTGGTAGACCCTGGGTCAACAAACCACCTGAGCACAGACTGGGGATACCTGCATCTTTGCTGCTGATGTGATGCTCTCCCAACCTTACTCTATCCATGCCCAATATGGAATCATTCTTCACTGATACCACCTTGCCAGATAGGACGATAAAGAGAACAAAGGCGAGTCAATGATGTTTCTGAGGCCCTCTAAGCATGTGGTGTCCCAGGTGGACTCTCTACATGAGTTTTACTAAAATCACATAATACCATAGCAGAGTGTGATGCGTTATGTCCTGAAGATGTTCTTACCATTGATTCCAATTCATGGCAGCCCCATTTGTATCAGAGTAGAACTGTGCTCCTGAGAGTTTTCAATGGCTTACATATCAGAAGTAGATCTTTGAGCCTTTATTCTGAGCCACATCTGGGTAGTGTCAAACCTGCAACCTTTCTGTTAGCAGCCAAGTGTTTAACCATCTGCATTACCCAGGAGCTGGGAAATCTTTGGTTAGTTCCTTGCTGCTTTGGGAGATGCAAACAGAAGATGGGTGTCTTGGTTGAAGGCAGGTATAACCAGTGTCCCTTTCACACTATTTCTCTGAATACAAAATGCACCTCCATCCCCTTCTCCCCAGTCCCCCACCTGCACCAGAAGTCAATTTAGTTGGAAGGTTAGAATCTTTCTTGCCAGGAAGATTCGGCAAATGGTGGGTGGTTGCCTTCTGGGTGTAAGGTAACAGCACTATGTTACCAAACAAGGCCCATCAGTAACAGTAGTGGAAAGGAACTAACATCTATAAATAGAATTCACAGTAACTCTCCCCACTCTCCTCCCTCTTGCAACCCTTGTCTGTAGGTACTCGAAAAGATTCTGTTCCACAAGTCTTACTTCCCGAGGAAGAGAAACTCATCATTGAAGAAACCAGAAGTAATGGCCAGACAATCACTGAAGAAAAGTGAGTAGAGCAGGTTGATCCTTTCCTGGTTTGTTGAGGGGTTGGAAAGAAGGTCCTGGCAGCACAGAGTTGCCCTTATAAAGCTGGCACTTGAAGCATCGTCCTTTCTTATCTGGGAACATGGCCCTCTTTGCTGAGCATGCAGTTGATAGCCTTAGAAAAACTGCCTCCAACAAGAGAAAGGGAAAAGCAGAGGTGGAGGTGCTAGAATATTCCAGAAGGGCTAAGCGTGGTGGCTGTTTCTGGAGCCCACTACCCGGTGCAGCAAGGTACTTCATGGCACATGAGAATATTGAGGCTCTGGATGGGTTTGTGAGACCCTGGGTAACACTAATGTTTAAGTGCTGCTCTGTTAACCAAACGATTGGTGGTTCAAACCCACCCAGAGATACCTTGGAAAAAAGTTGGTGATCTGTTTCCAAAAGGTCACAGCCGTGGAGCTATGGAACATTTGAAACACACGAGGCAGTCCTGAATCGGAACGGCTTCATAGAAACGGTTTTGGTTTTGTTTGGCTAGATTTAGGAGGCACCTGCAAAGGCCATAGCACCAATTTCCCTGCCCAGAGGGCTGCCTTTTGCATTTGTGGAGTTAAGCATACCTTTCACATACTTAAATATGTTTAAAATCCTACAGCTATCCAGTTTTACAGATGAGGAAACTGAGGTTCTGGGAAATTAATTGGAGTTCTGGTGTGGTCCTGTAGGATAAGCACTGGACTGGTAACTGCAAGGTTGGTGGTTCAAGCTCACCACCCACTCCTTGGAAATCCTATACAGGGTCGCTATGAGTCAGAACTGACCCGATGACACTTAACAACAACAACAACAAAGCCTACCTGTGTACAGCTTACTGCTGTACTGTGGGACTTAATGGGGAAAAGCCAGGTTAAGTACCTTGTAGCTCATAAAATGAACACAAAGGAGCCAAATAATTCATTTGTTTAAACCTGAGTCATTTCTGAAGTGAAGCCTAGGATTTGCATAGATCAGCAGATTTCAAAGTGTTTGGCGTTGTCGGTGCATTTTTAGATCTGGTGTCTGAAGTGATAGAGCGTAGCTGTACAATACTGGGGCTCCAGAGACTGATAGTCCTGGTCTCAGTGACTCACAAGCTTTGTGATGTGAGGTCAATTACTTTATGTCGCTGTCTCGATTCTGTCACCTATAAAATGGAGATGATAAGAGACAATAATAATACATCTACTGTTGTTGTGAGGTTAAATGGAACAATAACCATAAAGGCTGGCATGCAATAAATAATGGGCATTATTTACTAATTATTATCATAGCTATATTAATTCTCACAACAACTTTCTGAGGTTTTCAGGAAATGTGGTATTTTCCTCATTTTCTATGTAAAGAAGCAGAGCCCAAAGAGGATGCAAGGAACTGAGTATCCAAGATTAAAGAAATAATGGTAGAATCAGATCTGAAACTCAAATCCCCAACCTCCTTTTCCAGGGAAAGAATCAGAGAGATAAAAGCTGTCCCATTACCCAGCCAGGAGGCTTCATCCTTTCTTTGGTAATATTACCAGAGAGGTCTTCTAGCAACAGTACTCCTGACTTTGTGTCAGGTAGGGTCATATAAAGGAGCCCTGGTAATACAATGCTAACTGAAAGGTTAGTGGTTTGAACTTACCGGTGGCTTCCTGACAGTCAGCTCCTGTGAGAGTTCAGCCTAAGAAAACCTATGGGGCTGTTCTACTCTGTCCTGTAGTGTTGCTATGAGTCAAAATAGCACAGATACTGTAGCATATTCATGACCTTGGATACCTCTCATCATACATGAGGTTGTGTTCATGATCACCCCAGAAATAGAGAATCCAAGACCTTCTGATGGGCCCTGCCGTATTATTTTGTCCTCATCTGAGACAGGAAGTGAGTGGCAAAGGAGGAAGGAAGCATGAAAATGATGCAATGGCATGGGATTCGAATGAGCATGTGGGGTGTTGTTACCCAGGAACCAGAGTAGTGCCCCTCCCAAGTAAATATATGGATCCATTAGAAAGCCCACTACTTGTCAGGACCTGTTCTTTTATAAAGTTGCGTTAAATAGTATTTCCTCAGTGCCAGAAATTCATCTGTGAATTTTATCTTTGTTCTAGGAGCCTTGTGGATACTGTCTATGCCTTGAAGGATGAGGTCAAAGAACTGAAGCAGGTAATCAAATATTAACGTCATTCTCTCAGATCATAACATCACCCCACCAGTTGGTGCTATCAGGGAAGGTCCCGAAGGAAAGTGGCGAGGTGGGAACTTTTCCTGTAATCAATGAGGGTTTGGTTGGTATTAAGCTTGTGACCTTGGGTTTAGATTGATTTCTGAGGCTTGCTTAAACTCCTGTTTAACCATTGGCACTGTTGTTGCTGTTGTTAAGTGCTGTCCAGTCAGTTCCAACTCTTAGCAACCCTGTGTGAATCTCTTGTTTCCTCATACCTGTAAACAGGATTTAAGAAAAGATTAAGCGATGATTGTGAGGTTGGCGCAGGACCGGCATGTTTCGTTTTGTTGTTCATAGGGTCACTATGAGTTGGTAATGACTCTATGGCACCTAACAGCAAACAAGAAGTCATTCTTAGCTATGCCAATGTAAGCAGAGTCATAAATCATGGTTTGTGGCAAGATGGTAAGGAGCTCTGGTAGTGCAGTGTTTACGAGTCAGGCTGCTAACCACAAGCTCAGCAGTTCGAAACTACCAGCAGTTCCACAGGAGAAAGGTGAGTCCTCAGAAACCCTTTACAGGGTCACTATGTGTCGGAATCAACTCCACGGCACACCACTACCACCACCAGCACCATAGAAGATGTCACAAAGAAAGCTGAATAATGTTTAAAAATATGCAGATGTGATCATTGCGCCATGGTACACAACTCTTCCCTGTAGATCATGGATCTGACTGAGAACTTGTCTCCCTGTGTGTTTGTGGACTGACTGTACTTGGTGGCAGCAAGGTTGAGGATCAGTTGGAGAGGAGAGAGACCAAGGATTTGAAAACCACTTAGGTTATTTCAAACCTGAGAATGAGACATGCTGAATTGAAGTCTTGAACTGAGGTAATGCCAATGAGTAGGAGAATGGATGTAAAAGAAGGCACATATAAAAGTCAAAACCTATTGAACAGTATGATGTGATGCTGGAATTAAGAATCAGGTCCATCAACTGATTAGTTGATTAACAAAATGTGATATAGACATACAATGGAATATTACTCAATTAGAAGGATAAATGAAGTCCTGAGGCATGCCACAACATGAATGAACCTTGAAAGCACCATACTGAGCGAAATGAGTCAGTCACAAAAGGACAGATAATGTTTGTTCTCATATGAAATAAGCAAATATATAAAACCCATAAATTAGTAGTGGTTATCAGGGCTGGGAGGGAGGGGGGAAGGGTAAGCTTGTACTTAGGGGACATCGAGCTTTTGTAAATGGTGGTGGAATGAATGGGAAAAGGATAGAGAGAATAGTTACATAACTAACTTGAAGAATATAATTGTCACCAAATTATACATGTAAAAATCATTGAATTGGTATATGTTTTGTATTATATGTTTTCACCACAAAAATCTATATAAAAAAGAACAAGAATCTGAGATTAAAGATGATTTTTTTTTTTTTTAATCAGAGTATGCAGTTTGATATGGTGGTATGCCTCATGGAAAACAGAAAGTACAGAAGGAGAGAAGCGTGGGGTAATGGGTGAGATATTGAATTCAGTTTAGGACATAATGAGTGTAAGGTGCTTTTAGCAAGTTGACATTTAGGGTTGTGCCCCTGATGTCCAGTAGATGAGGTCAGATTCAAAGAGATTCAGGAGGTCCCTTAGTATGCCCTTAAGTTGAAAGACACCAAGTGAAGAGGGTATTGAATGAGAAGAGGAAGGACAACCAGGAGATTGCCTTACCTTGGAAGCTGAGGGATGCGAGTTTGAGGAAGGAACACTGTTGTTATGTGCTATGGAGTCGGTTCTGATTCATAGCGACCCTGCACAGGGTTTCTGAGGCTGTAAATCTTTACGGGAGCAGAAAGCCTCATCTTTCTCCTGTGAAACAGCTGGTAGTTTCAAACTGCTGACCCTGAGTTTAGCAGCCCGATTCATACGCTACCAGAATGCTGCTAAAAGGAAAAGCAGGAACCACTACTTGGTAATTAACAAGTCTTGTACCATTGCAGGAGAATAAAAGAATGAAGCAATGCTTGGAAGAAGAATTAAAATCAAGAAGGGACCTAGAAAAGCTGGTCCGGAGGTTGCTGAAGCAAACGGATGAGTGTTTTCGGGTTGAGTCCAGTAGCAAGACCTCAATTCTTCCATAACCATCACTGTGCGGCTGGGCAAAGTGTGCCTTCAAGGCATCTGGAAATGTCCAGCTGAATGATTTGACTCAATTTGATCAACTCTTTGGTTTTTACTTTGTGTTTAAATCTCTCTCTCTGTCTCTCTCTTCCCCCTCTCTCTGATTTCTTTCTCTGTATGTGTGTGTGTGGTCTCTGCTTGAGTGTGTGTTGTTGTCTGGTTATTAGTTGGTTGTTTGGTTTCTAAATGGGAAAAAGCAGGAAGCAGCGGCGGAAGTTTCCCTAGAATCTTCTTCCATTCAATAAGAAAAGAAAAGCTAACGCAGTCCAATGACTTCAAATGGTCTTCAGATGGCCTTCAATTCACAGTGCCTCTGCAAAACCATTTTCCTCAGGCCACTCTTGTTGAGCTTAGCTTCTGTCCTAAAGTGGCTGGCCATGGTTGCTTAAGTGTAAACCCAACTCCCCTCCCTCCCCCCCAACGCTTTCCTGTACCTGGAAGCATCCCTAGTACCTAGTGTGCTGAAGGCAAAGCTATGACTAGAATAAGATGAAAGAACATCATCCTATATTCTTTAAAAATCAGTTTAGAAGTCAAAGGTTATGATGAGAATAGGATGACAGATGGGTGCATTTGCCTGAGTATTTCCACTGCCCTTCCCTAGCCCATCACATGCCACCCCTCAGTGCATACCTTTTTTAAAATTACTTCCCTATGTTGTCTGTAAGACTAAGAAGACTACAGTTCCTTTGTTCCTTTTTTGTTGTTTTATATTATATTTTAGCTCCATGGATCAGAAGCTCTTGTCATTCATGCCAACACCAAATGCATTAGCAAATTGCAGTGAATGGTCATCCCCTCAGTAGCAGAGTTGACCAACTCTTCATAGGGCATGATGGGTTTTTTCTTAGCTGTCTGATTAGTGTGTAAGTTTTGTACTTCCCAGTGCTTTTAGGCAACTGTACCAAGCAGTGTGCAAACCTAGTATTGTGTGTTTTGCTTACTTCTTAAAAATGCAGTTATACTGTGAGCAGTCACTTTCTCTACATTGCACATTCAAACTATGACCTTTTACACACATCAACACAATTTACACTTATGAGATCTTGTGACCTAGTAGACAGCTTTCATTCACTTTATTGCTCTCTCATATATGCCATGAGAAGTTGTATTATTCATCGGCCTCTTTGAGCAGAGTGCTAACCATTATTTGTCAAAATATGCTGATGGTCCAGTTTGTCTATCTAGAACGATAGACGCTCTAGTAGCTGGAAGCTAGTTACTATGGAGCTGATTATTTGGAGCTAGTTTACCCAAATTTCTCATTGAATTGAATTAGCAACTTTGGAAGCTTCCCAGAAATTAGAACTGTGAGGAACGAAGTTTAGAAGAGGGTAGCACACATCCCAATTCAACAAAGTTGAGAATCTACCCAAGATTTTAGGACAGAGTAAATCCTTCCACCCCCAAAGGCAGGTGAAATGTGGCCAGATGGGAGAGCTCACTGGAAAAAGAAGTAAAGAGCCAATGGACTGATCATAGTTGTCTTCCAGGTACATGTAATGGGTACCTGAAAATGTGGGTTTAGCAAATGTTGCTTAGAAATCAAACGAATCTTGAAATCTCCAGCTTTCTGATGGAACTCTTTTTCTCTCTGATATCGGGAGGTCACAAGTTGTCTGCTGGCTGCACAGTAGAAATGACACCACCCACAGGAAGGAGATTATTCCTGTAGCCCATCATCAGCCAATCACACCCAGCTATCTTTGGAAGCTAAAGAGTGAAGAAGAATCCTAGGAACAACTGTTGTTCTGTTTTTCAGCACAGTAATTTAGATATGATACCCTTCACCTAAAAATTCAAACCATCAACAACTCACATCTTAGAATCTGCCCTGTCTGTGGTTAGTTAATGGCTTGCAATAAATGTGCCAACTATATCCATCAGAAACCTTTTTGTGATTACAAAATACTTTAATTGATAAGATATAGGATTGCTTTAAATAATGAAAGGTCTTTCTTTGAAAGTGATGTGTACATATGCATGTGTGGGAACTTTGCCTTCCTCCTGGGAGTCTCTTGGTACAGAGTGGTGTCACGTGCTCACACACTAAACAGTAATACAAAGGAAATGAAGCCATGTTAACCTGAGAGCAGTGTCTTCATAATTGTGTTGTTTACAATACTCTGTCAATAGGTCCCTGTTACCCTGTAATTAAACTGCTGTCCTTAAAGGCCTTTCAGTTCTTCTTCTGTCATGCCCCTTCTTACACAAGTTCAATTTTTCTAACTTGTTTTTATTTTGAAGACTTTTAAAATGGACATTTTCAATAAATAAAAATGACAATGCTTTATAAAACAAGTCCTTTGTTTGTTTGTTTCTCTCGCTCTCTTTTTTGCTAGCCAATGTGCAGAGAGATTTCTTGTGCTGGGTCAACTTCCTCTTCCATTTCCTTTAGGCCTCCTAGTTCCTTTTCACTTGGGCATGTAACATTTGCTCCTTACTTTACAGAGAAAACAGATGCCATGAGACAGAACTTTTCTTAACTTCTTCACCTCTCTAGACCTCTGGCTTCAACCGATTAACTATCTGTATTTCTTCACGCCATCTCCCTCCAAAAATAGAGAAAGATATATCCAATTTCCTGTACAAGTTTATCCCTTGATTTTTAGTCTTGTCCTCATCCCTGTATATTTTGACCACAGTTGAAATGGCTAGAATGACAAAATCTGTTCTTCCTCAAAATAGATGAACTGAGTATTATTCATTGCTACTCAGAATCTATTCCTGCCCCTTTTACATTTCCCCACCTGGAAAGCAAAAAGAAGAAGAAAAAAAATGCATTTCCAAGACTCCCTTGTAGCTAGAATTCTGTATACAATGTAGACTCTGAAAAATTTTGGTTCTGATCATTAGATGTATACAAACAAGGTTTGGAAGGCTTAAGTCATGTAGAGGTTGTCTTCCGGGCTATCTTTCCAGGCAAGTTCCAAAGACATATTTGTGGCACCTGCGTCCATGTGGCAAGTCATAGCTTTATGGGTGAGGGGCTGTAGTTCCATCAGTAGTAGCAGTGTCTTGACTGCCACTTCTCCAACTTGAGGTGTCTTCAGTGGTTTCTGTTTTCTGCCCTGAACCAATAAATAGAGTTGATTTGGACCATCTTTCTTGGGATAGACACTTCACTAACTGGTTTACATACTTAAGTTTAGGTCACCCTCACAACAACCCTATGAGCTATGCATAGTTATTAGTTCCAGTTTCCAAATGGAGAGCATGCTAAAAAGTTAGGGAGCTGGGATTTGAACCCTCGGCCTGTCTGCCTCTAGGATCCAGGTTCTTTCTACCACATTCCCTCCTCTGTGTTTGGCCTCTGACAGCAATCTACTCTGATGAAATTTTCAATGAGTTTTTAATGGACAAATCCAGGGAACATTTTTTTTTTTTCAATACCCATTGTGATGTCTTTGCAGTATTTGGCCCCTTATCTCCTTGATAAAGCTCTACCTTCTTGGTTTGTAGGATCTCACACTTTCCTGATTTTCACTCAACCTTCTTACCTCTTCTCAATTTCCTTTGCTGGATCTGCCTCCTTTACCGAACATTGCTAACCCTCAACATCTTTTTCCTCTTTAATTTTACAGCCTCTTTCCAGATAGCTTTGTTTGCTCCCACAACTGCATCTATCAAATGCAAATGACTCCCACGTCAATATTTTTTTTTTCCGTTTTGACTTCCTGAGCTTCAGTTCCATGGAAGCAACTACCTTCTGGATATCTCAGCTTGGAGGTCCTAAAGCACAAAGCAAAACAAAACAAGCCTGTTTGCCATTGAGTTGATTTGGACTCATCAAACTCAGCATGTCCAGAATTGGGCTCCTCATCACTCTTCCCAAGTCTGGTTCACCGATGTTTCCCACCCCAGGGAACAGCACTCCTGTTTTCCAACCAGAAACAGGGCCTTTATCTTTCACTCCATCTTTTCAAGTAACCCTTTAAAAATGTATACAATAACTCTTCATAAACCTAGTAATCAAGTCTTACCATTTTTAACCTCAGCTATATCCATCGAATTCCTCCTCTTCATTCTCTTGGTCATTGCCTTAGTATGGGCCCTTGTCACCTCTCCTTTGGATGAATGCAGTTGCCTCCTAAACATCTCTTTACCTCTTGTCACCAGACTAGAGAAGTAATCTTTGGTGCCATTAGGATGGTTATTTGTAAGCTCTAACCATGCTACTCAGCAGTTAAAAAAATGTATTTCTTACCACCCCCTACTACACACAGTGAAATCTGATCTCATGAGATTTCTCTTAAGTCTTACAATGGCCAAGAGGATGAAGAGGAGGAACTCAGTGGATACAGCTGAGGTTAAAAATGGTAAGACTTGATTACTAGGTTTATGCAATTCTCCCTGCTTAGAATCCACTTATAATTCCTTTCCGTCAAGAAAACTCCTTCCTTACATACACACAATGTTGAAGAATAACGATGAATCTGAGAAACACCTTATGACATGGATGAATCAGGAGGACCTTGTTGTTAGGTGCTGTTGAGTCATTTCCAACTCATAGCAACGCTTTGCAAAACAGAACAAAGCACTGCTCAGTACTGTGCCATCCTCACAAGTGTTATTCTTGAGCCCATTGCTGCTATCACTGTGTGAATCTATCTCATTAGGGGTCTTCCTCTTTTTTACTGACCTTCCAATGTCCTTCTCCAGGAACTGGTCCCTCCCGATGACATGTATGAGAGATGAAAGCTCAGCATCCTGCCTTCTAAGGAGAATTCTGGCTATATTTCTTCCAAGACAGATATGTTTGTTCTTCAACAAAGGATACTTTCAATATCTTGCTCAAATACCGTAACTCAAATGCATCAATCCTTCTACGATCTTCTTTATTCATTGTCCAACTTTCACATACATATGAAGCTATTGGAAATACCATGGCTTGGGTCAGACACATCTTAGTCTTCAAACATATCCTTGCTATTGAACACTAGGAGGTCTTCTGCAGCAG